TAGAATCGTAAAAATCGATTATCTCCCTGTAGACAAACCAAGGGCCGCTAATATTTTAACCCTGTTAGTTTGGCACTGAGAGCTTTCATTTGATGCTAATAAACCTTGGTTTTTCGCTTATCACTTGAAACACCTCCATTGTCAGAAAAGAATAGCTCGAATTCGAAACACGATGCTGAATATGAGAATATCAGTCCAAAATGTTTTCAATCGATTTTCCACTGTATTATTGACAGAGCTAACCAACGATACAAATCCTTCTGCTGGATTACAGTTGCAAGCTTTTTAAAATAATAATTCTCTAATTAGTTCTGATCTCCAACTTTATTAATTATCAGCTAATATTCAGTAGTGATTCATAGTGCTACTCTCGTCTTCACGACAATGTTCATTGAGATTTCCTTATCATAAGCACTCCGCGAATCAATCGATGAAGTCATACACGTATAAATATTAGCATTCTTGTCGTTGGCCATAAAGGCATAGAATAGCATAGTCTCCAAAGGCAAACTATAACGAAGTATGAACGTGGATGAGGATATGAGTTTGAGAACGACTTCAGGTTGCTGTAAGTATTGGTGACGACTTTTTGCAACCATGATTATAAAACCCAATGACTGTGAATACTTGACTCTGCAGATGTAGCCACTGTATGTGTTGCTCTATAAGTATCAATGTCTGTGTGTGCGAATGGTTTTGACTGTGGATATTAGTACATCTGAGAACGAATACGTAATAAGACGCAGATCATTGTTCTGACTTAATCCTAGACGTTTGTTTAATGAGACGGTGTGCGCATATAAGTGAATGCATGGCCACAACTCTACTCATAGCCCTCACCATCATCCACGTCTATTTTTGGCGTTAAAATTCTTTTCAAATGACTTTGTTTAAATTTTGATATTTACTTCACAAATAGCAACAACGACAACTTCGACGTCCGCAACAACAACAACGGCAACAACAAGTGAGTACTCTCTAGAATTCACATAGTGACTGCATACAGCTTTGAAAGATTATGCTCCTTACTGGAGTTGATAAAAAAATGTACCTTTTATCAAAGAAATATGTTTTACACAATTTGCTTTTTGATTTGTTAACGAGTTCGGTAGGTCTTTATATCTCAACCACATTAAACGATATCTTTGTACACTGAGAGTTTAACAGTATCTGAGAAATTCTGGAGATGAACTTGAATTAAATAAAAAAGAATAGCCAATGTCACGTATCAAGGTCTAAGTCCATACATTATCAGTGCTTCTTTTATTTTTATTTGATATCGTTGTCTGCTGAGAATTGAAAAATGACAAGCAATGTCATAGTCTTAGTTGATTTTTTTAAAAATACAAGGTCATTCATGAAAATAAGTTTCATACGAAAATGCGAACAGCGAATCATTCAATTCCTACACGAAGTGGATATCTGATTTGCATCAAAAACAATTGAAATGAGTACAGTTGCATTTTGTTTTATCGCGAAGAATAGTTGATAAAAAAATCCCTGACTTCAGTTACTTGCTAACTTGCTGCTGCACTAAAAGTGTACATCTTCCCTCAAAAGTGATTCAAAATTTCGAGAGACTTCAATTAATTCCGAATCAATTCTGAGGATTTACTTTGTCTAATATCAATCACAATTATCCTAAGTCTTCTTAAATACTCCTTTTCCGAGAGTCGTACATTCTATTGGAAAAAACTCTTGCCTTTCATTATTGTGTTTCATTTAGCAACGACTACGACAACAGCTCAGTATATCGATAGTGCCTTCTGGTCATTCGATAGCAATGCACTTGAGCTCTATAATAGTGGTCTCGATGGAGCTCTCGCCGGAATTCCAGGCTATACAACCAGCGTTTTTGGTTACGGTGCTGCCATCTATCTTGCTAGGTCCTCTACTCAATATGTTTATATCACACCGAAAGTACTACCGTTCGATTCGCGCAGTTTCACAATTGAAGCATGGATCTATCCTATTAGTTTATCTAGTGGTACTGAGTATGGCATATTTGGTCAATGTCAATCGAGCAGCTACGATTTATGTTTACATTTTGTTATTCGAAGTAGCGTGTTGTATTGTGGATTCTTTTCAAATGACGTATCTGGTGTAACTACTTTGACAAGTAATACATGGTATCACGTAGCTTGCATCTATGATTCGATCACACAGACGCAACAAGTCTGGCTTGATGGTAACCTTGATAACTCACGTTCAGCCAGTGCCTACAATGGACTATGGGGAATAACAACTATAGGTGCTACTTTTGTATCAGGCAGTGCATCTAGTTTCAATGGATATATTGACAATACAAGATATGCGGGAAGAGCTAAGAATTCGACTGAAATTAGTAATGACGCTACTCTACAGGTTTACTATTCGTTTGATGGTGGTGCACTTACTGACAATGGTCCCAACGGTATTAATGGTACAGCCTATGGAAGTCTATCAAGTACAACTGGTCGTGTGAATGGCGCATTGCAATTTAGTATGGGATCCTATATAAGCTATTCATATAATCCATTTTACTTTTTGGGTGTCGACGGTAAACCACATACTATAGCCGTGTGGGTGAAGCCAACAGGAAGCTATTCGACACAAACAATTTTTTTCGTAGGATCAATATCTTATTGGTGTGTTCACTTTTTGGTCATGCAGTCGAATGGAAAGTTGTATGCAAATAGTTGGCGTGGCGCTGGTGTATCTTTGGCTGGTCCCATTCTGCCATTAAACACATGGACACATATTGGTTATACTTACAGTAGTACCAACGGTGTTCGACTGTACATTGACGGTATCCTTCACTCATCGACAGGTGCCTTTACATTTAGCTCTGCTCGTCAATCGGTGCCTATCGTATTGGGAGGAGATAGAATCGTTCATTAATGTATGTGATCAATTATCTATTCCACCTATTTCGTCTACAACTTCAAGAAGAAGCGTAAAATGTGAACATACGAAATGCTGGTCAAACTGGCTGCTCTCCTTCCTACGGAGGTGCATTCACTGGTGCTCTCGACGAATTTTACCTGTACAGGCGTGAATTAACAGTCAGTGAAATCTGGTCACTAGCCAATCCTTAAGCTGATATGATGAAGTCGGCCACCGATGTTAAACTCTTTTACATTCCTTTTGCTACCTCAATAAAAGTGTTTTTTCCAATGAAACTATATCTCTGAACATCAGAATTTCAGAATTTCACCAACAAAATACTTTCTGGGGAATCCGCATAAATAATCGTAATACGGATATAAGCGCAGTCAATGATACATATGTACGTCTACCATGAAAACTCCAGTACTTATAATAATGAATTCAGACGAGGGTAAAATTCAAATGGCTGAAGGCGTGGGTGCGTGTTAGTGTGTGGGTGGGTGTAGCTGTGGTTGTGTGGATGTGGATAAATGTGATGTGGGGTGTGGATGGGTGTCGGTGTGGATGTGAGTGGAGTGTGGGTGGGGTGTATGGGTGTGTTGGTATGCGGGAAAAATGCATCCACAGCCACAGCTACAGTCACACTACCCACACCCACACCCTTGCTGATCACGGATCTGAAATTTATTTTGCTTCAAAATACGTATGGAAGTCGAACCAAAGGTATCCTCTAATACCACAAGAAAGCGGGTGTGGGTGTGGATGGGTGTAGAGTGTGGGTGTGGGGTGTGGGTGTTGGGTGTTGGGTGTGGGTGCGGGTGTGGGTGTGCAGTGTGGATCCTAGCGTGGTTACAGAGAATATCGACACCGATGGAGACACCCACACCCACCCAAAACACTCCCCATCCACATCCACACCCCACACCCCACCCACACCCACACCCACACCCCACACTCACCCACACCCACATCGACACCCACACCCACACATTCACACCCACACCCACACCCACACCCACACACCCACACCCACGTTCGGCATCCTTTATAACATGTGATGAAATGCAGTCAGCCACTAAGGTTCTAGTTTCACGAGCTGCTCCTAATTTCTTACATGGTTTCGAGCATTGCACCTATTTGCTCCTAACAAAATACCAAATGGCATCTCGTTAGTTACTATTACAGAACTTGCCATCGTTCTATTGAAAATAAATGACCACATTTATGAGAAGGCGTATTATTATTTTTTATTCAGTGTGAATATGTCTACTCGAATACTAAAGGATCATTTATTGAGTCTCATGCTCCTGAAAGAGCCACAATAGCAATTAATGTCCTATAATAACAGTAGGAAGGTGATCCTATTTTATGGATATATGCATTAATCGTAAAAGCCAGTAAAAATAAAACAAGCAATAAAAAAATGAACTGTTAAATTAAAGTTCTTCCAAGTATCGTCTGAGTAAGTAAATATATTGTTTTAGCGTCCAGTGAGAATACCTAACATGTACGATATTAAAGCAACTACAATATACCATGGTGATATTGACTGAAAAGTATTTTTCAAAGCTACATGCATTTTTGATATTATATTTTGTGCCGGTAATGGTAATGATAGTTGATGTAACGATCGTGATGGTTGCAGTGGCTTGTCAAGATCTTTCAAACGGCTATAAATTGCATTTACCACATCCTCGTCACTCTCATTTGAAATATCCAGATATCCATCAATATCTAAAACACCATCTATTGTTTTTCCATCCACTGATAATAGCATAATTCGATGGTTTTGATTTGATTTCAGTAAACTACGTATAGCACGTGCTTCTAAACCACACCATTCTTTGAGTGCATAGTCATCACACATAAATACGACAATTAATCTTGTTTGATATCGATAGATCGTTTGCAAGTAAAGATCTAAATTTGGTCGAGCCAATTCAGCTTTGTGGTATTTATCATAAAAAATCTTTTGTTTATTAAGTCTTTCACATAGTTTTTCAGCTATTCGACTAACTTTGCCACGTATATCACCTAGAATATATATACGATTAAATTTCTAGCTTATAGAATAGAAAAATTTCTTATTTTAGTTACCTGGAAAGGAAAATGCAACATCAAATCGATGTGCATATTGATCAATAAAATATATATCGAGTAATTGTCCGAATCGATCAAACGCTTTTAATAGATTATTTTCATTGGGTGGTAAACGACTTGTGTATTGAACTCTGTAGCGATCATAATTCTATATCAATAAAAAATATGAAAAGAAACTTGTACGGTTAGTTAAAAAAAAAGTATTCAGATGTCCTTTGACTTGCACATATATCTCACTTTGAAACGTAAAAATAAAAGATAAACGATTTTTATTTTTTTTTCTCGTAGTGACAAAGCATGTCAGCGAAGAATTAGGAAATTGTTGCGCGTGTTGAAGAATACAAAAATCTAAAGAGACATAATTCATTCGATAGCGTGGAATAAGATTGATAAATAAATTTTCAAGTTGATCCCCAAAAACTATCATTACGAGAACAATACAAGAAAAGACGTCGTAGTAGAGCAACAATGTTTCAGTTTATTTACTTGAAGTTTTAACTCAAAGATTTTTGCTAAAGCCGCACCATTCTTAGAGTCACCTGGACGAAATAAGAAAGCATGTAGTCTAGGAGAAAATCATATTTTTTTTACATGAATATTGATTTTTTAATAGTTTCAGTTAATTATGTACCTTTCAAGTCTATGGGACTGAAACCACTCCAACACTTCATCACTATTCTGTTCACTTAGATCTAGAATTAAGAAAAAAACAGTACTATTTCTACTATATAGTCAGACATACGTCGTTCTCGACTCAATTGTATTTCTGTCGTTGTTGCTATTTCTCTCTGTTCTTCATTTTCAAGTGTTCCTGATGATACCGAAGTTACACGACCATTACTTGAACTCTGTGCAGCGGATTCATAAACTAGCATTAGCTCGTTATTTAAAGCCCGACCTAAATAAAGTGTAAAAAGATTGCTATTAAATATTTCCATATTAATAAAGAAGAAACTAGTGACTTGCCCATTTCGGAGGCTTCAGGATCTGCTTCATTGTGTCGTTCAGCTGCTTCAGTTGCGATAGTAGTCTCACGAACTGCTGTAAAAGAGTGATATGAGCCGGTAAATTCTTTTTGTGAGAATATAAGAATAATCAAACAGCTATATGTATAGGATGCACTAGTAGAGACATCATCGTCCATACTCACCTGTTGTTGATGAGGCCATAGCCCTAAAGGTTGTATGAAGCGTAGAAAATCGTATTACTTTTATCTGAAAGAAAACTGTCTTGAGCGTGTAAGGGTGAAGAGTTTTTGTCCTTCAAACAAAAAAAAATCTCCACGCAGACATACGATAACATATTAGCATTCTTCTGTTCTGTACAGCTACACGTGAAAGCACTCGACTGAGTCCCTGCCGTGACATACAGACAGATGCTAAATTTTTGACAATTTTAGTACATAATATTAACTTGTAGAGATCTGATGGACCAGTTGATATTAGCACATTCTGTAACACAATATGGTCTCCTCCATTTCGAAATGTCTTGAAAGTAAACGGAATCCAACCACCGTCGTCAATGAATCAATTGGCTTACACCTATATGCAAAGCACACAGAAACGAAAAAAAGCATCAACCAAATGAAGTTGTTTTAACAGAAACCAAAAGAAAAAAACCCAGATATATTGTTTTTCTTCTCTGAAGGAGAGGATTGTATAGCGTCGTAAATATTAATTCATGACTTGATCTGAGTCAATCCGCGTGCATGAGTAAGGTGTATCCACTGTGAGCATAGCAATTGAAAGCGTTACGTAGAGCTCAGAGCTCTGAATGCGTTGGACTTGGGTGTGGGGTGTGGGTGTGGGTGGTGTGGGTGTGGGTGGGTGTGTGGGTGTGGGTGGGTGTGGGTGTGGGTGTGGGGTGTGGGTGTGGGTGGTGTGGGTGGGTATGGGTGTGGGTGTGGGGGTGGGTGTGTGTGGGTGTGGGGTGTGGGTGTGGGTGTGGGGTGTGAGTATGGGGTGTGGGTGTGGGCGTGTGGTGTGGGTGTGGGGTGTGGGTGTAGGGTGTGGCTCTGGCTGTATGGATATATCAGACGAACCCACACCCACCCACACCCACACCCACACCCACAACCACATCCACCACCCATACCCACACCGACACCCCACGCCCACACCCACACCCACACCCTGTCGGAATGGTGCTTCTGTGTATTCTTGAGTGCGCTAAAGCCATCGGCACAATCCACATCAACTGTTTTTTGCTCAGGTTACGA